GTGTGTTCTTTGCTGTGATTTAAAGACTATGATGGATTGAATGTCTAAAAGGTGGAAATAGAACCAAAGATCCGGGCCTGATGGGATTGTTTAGAAGTGGAGAAAATTCTAGATTTAGAAAACCTTTATTTTCATTTTGTATACACATAGTGTACACAGTACGAAATTTAATTGATACAGCTTTCTGACAGTGAATTTTTGTGAGAACAATAAAGTGCAGCAGTGATAAAATGTAAACAGTGTGGAGGAGACATGGTGCAAAAAGGCATTGATGTGGAAGGTTCAGAGCAGTGCAAAATAAAGAAATAGGTATGGTGTAAAATGCAGTAAAAAAACATTTGAGTCGAGTTCTATTTTGAAGATTTATAATTTAGTGCAAGTATGATGTTATCAGTGCAGAGTCTCGATTTGTGACTTGATTTGTGACAGCAGGTAAAAAGCTGGTAAAGAACCTGCTGGACCTGCAGCGGATGCTGCGAACCTCCTTCCAGAGGGCAGCAGAGAGAACAGTCCATGGTGGAGGTGTAAGAGTCGCTGATGATGTTATGGGCCCGGGACACGGAGCGCTGGAAGGAAATGTCTTTTATGGAGGGGAGAGGAGCCCCGATGATCCTCTCTGCTGTTCTCACCACTCTTCTCACGTTCTTCCAGTCTAAAGTGCTGCACCGTCCACGCCACACCGTGAGACAGCTGGTGAGGATGCTCTATATGGTACTTCTGTAAGATGTAGTGAGGATGGTCAGGGACAGGTGGGCTCTCCACATCCTCCGCAGAAAGAACAAGCGCTTCTCAGCCCTTTTGACCACTGAGGAGGTGTTCAGAGTCCAGGTGAGGTTGCCTGTTATGTGCACCCCAAGGAATTTGGGTGTGGCTAGGCCAGTTCTTCGTTAAGTCGACGATGATATCCTTTGTCTTTCCCACATTCAGGATCAGGCTGTTATCAGTGCACCAGCCCAACAGCTGCTCCAGGGTCATTGGTTGGCCCGGGTGATGATTTTTTTTATGTTGCTCACGTCCTCAATGCATTTTGTTGGTGTAGGCTGACACAGTCCTGGCATACTCATCAATATCATAACAAAATCTTGTTATGATAGGTTGCTGCAGCTCTGAACATGTGCCAGTAAGAACATTCAAAACAGTCCTGTAGTGTCTTCATGACCCCCTCAGTCCACACCCTGACCTGCTTCACTGTTGGTTTAGCTGAGCTGTAAGCCCCGGAGCAGACGGCTGGGTTCTGCTGCACTGTAATCGACTAAAACCCAAAAAGTAGGACATGTCCGGGGGGAAAAAAAGGACATCTGGTCACAATACCATATCAACAATTTGAAGTTTTCAGTGAGTTCTTGTTCTCAGCAGCTTCGCTCATTGTAAAGCAACCAATCAGTGCACATCTAATATAAATACTCATGATCAAACCATAAAAGGAAGAAAACCTGTCGTTTCTTTCTAGGGCTTATAACCAGGTGTGCATTAGGGCTCATAGAACAGCAAATATGTCATTTTGAGCCCAAACGGTGTTACACACCTTATTCAGAGACCTTAAATGAGTCGTAGAATGATTCTAAAGGGTATCTGGTGCTGGTCCTTAAGGTCTCTGAATAGGGTCTGCAACATTGGTTGGGCTGAAAATGGCATATTTGCTGTTCTATGAGCTATAATGCAAGCCTGGTACTAGTGGTTTATGTGTGTTTATGTCACACGGGTGAAATTAATTCAGTATAATACAAACATCCCAGATACTTGTACAAAATGTGAAGAAGAAAAAGAAACATTGTTTCATTTCATTTCGAAATGCAGGGAAATTAAAAAATTCTTGATTGCAATAAATCCAACTGTGAAAGAGATCATAAAGAAAGAACTTAAAATGGAGCCCTCTTTTATAAATGTAGGTCTACATTCCAAATCATAAAAATTTACCAAAAGTGAGCAAATGATATTTGTTTACTACAAGCAAAACGGTTGATTCCAGTACTCTGGAAGGATATCAGACCAAAATGGATCCAACCTTGGATTAAAAATAATTACTCAGAGACAGTTGACTCAAACCCGTAATAAGTAAGCTCCTTATACCTTTAAGAATGTCAGACTTAACCAATCCCTACAGATGAACAAAATGTAAATATAAAGATGTTTTCAGCCACTTCCCTAATTTGTCATTTGTTCTGGTGTTCTGAGGTCAGCTTTTACATGCAGGGATGTATAATGCAAACCAATAAAAGCTAAATTCAAGAAAGTAAGACAACTACAGAATACTGCAATAACAAACATATTGCTTGATTCAGTGTTTAAAACAAATTGAAGGGACCTTTATTTACTTATGACATAGTTTGCTCCATTGTCATTTAAAGAAAAGGCAGATTCATAATAGTCTAATTGGTTTATTGTATTTTTATTCACTGAAACTGACCTTGTTTGAATTCCTTTAAAGTTTTAATATTGATACAGTGTGCATTATTAATAATTGTTTTGTAAAGCTAGTATTTTAACATAATCTAGATAGTAAATTCCTGCTATGTAAATGTATGTGACAGGAATGAAAAAGTTGAATGATGTATATGAAAACACACATTTTAATACTTATTTATCATACTTTTTGAATCCTGTTGATTTTATTGTTTTTCATCAATTCCCACGAGTATTTTAGAGTCACACAAAACTCTTTGAAAAGCTTTAGGGGCATGGCTGACCATATTATAATTAGGTCCACCTCCTCACAGACAAAGAAAGGGATTAAGTATAAAGCAGAATTATAGGGCAGAGAGAATAGGCCATCGAGACATTTGAACAGCTTCTGTTCTCCTTCCCTCTAATTATGCAAACTGTTGAAGCAGAACTTTGCTTTCCACAGCTGCCTAATTCATCCTGCAAAAAGACTATGCATCATCCCTATGTTTCCCTGATTATTTATTTTACATTATCTTCCATCTCTTTACTTACGGTATTTCTTAATCTGCTGGTGATCATCTCTATCTGCCACTTCAGGTAAAATGTTTTTTTTGTTTTTTTTTTTGGGTAAACCTTTTTTTGGGTAAACCTACTAGCAGTCATTGTGAGGTGTTGTTGTCTAATTTCTGCAGGAAACTCCACAGCCCCACCAACATCCTCCTGCTCTCTCTGGCCGTCTCAGACTGCATGGTTGGATTCCTCATTTCATTTCAAATAGTGCTGATAGATGGTTGCTGGTATCTTGGGGACATCATGTGTGCTATATATTTTATTTTGGACTATATTATCACTACTTCCTCTATAGGAACCATGGTTCTTATATCTGTTGATCGCTATGTGGCAATTTGTTACCCTCTGTACTACCCCAGCAGAGTTACGATAGAACGAGCAAGGATATGTGTTTCTCTGTTTTGGATGTGCTCAATAATGTATCATTGTGTTCTGCTTAGGGACAACCTGCAACACCCAGGCAGGTATAATTCCTGCTCAGGAGAGTGTCAAGTGTTTGTAGATTATATCGGGGGAGTTTTTGACCTTTTGTCATCCTTTATTTGTCCTGTCACTGTGATCATTATTCTTTATGTGAGAGTTTTTGTAGTGGTTCTGTCTCAGGCTCGAGCTATGAAGTCTCAGGTTGCAGCTGTCTCAATTCAGGGTTCAGTGACCGTCACAGCTAAGAAATCTGAAATAAAGGCAGCCATAATCCTGGGAATTGTTGTAGTTGTGTTTCTAGTTTGCACATGTCCTTATTTCTGTGTTTCACTCATTTCAGAAGACGATGCAGTCAGTGCTTCATCTGTCACCTTCCTTATGTTTTATTTTAATTCTACTCTTAACCCACTGATCTATGCCTTATTTTACCCATGGTTTAGGAAATCTTTAAAACTAATTCTTACAATGCAGATCCTGAGGCCTGGCTCACGTGACAGCATTATTGTGTAAAGAGAATTCAACAAACAATTCTTGTACAATGGAAAAACTCTGTATGTAAATAATTCATCAACCGAAAAGGATATAGTATTGATTAAACTATTTTCTTGTCTCCTGATACATGTTTCAGTTTCTTTGTGTCATCAGCAGGAATTAAAAATGTAAAAATAAAACAAACAAAAGAGATAAATTTAAATCCAACTAAATCTGTTTAAGTATTTATGGATTGTAAAACTTACAGGTGAATGCTCTTGTAGAATCTGATACCAACAGATGGCCAAAAACAGGTATTGATCCTTAGTTCCTATTGTTGAGATGATTCAATTTAATTTTCTTAAGATTTGTTTTTGTCTTATACAGCATTTTAAATGATGGGATTTTTTCTTAAACTATTTCAAAAGGTTAAAATACAAGTATATAACTAGAAAAGCACTTGGAGAGCAAAACTAGCACATGATCTTGATCATTATTTAATATTAATTGATTGTTCTTTGACAAAAGTTGTCCCCTGAAACGCCCCAGATTTTATTCCAAAAAAGTCAAATAACAGTCCTGTGGACTTTGTTTTCCAAGTCTGAAGACGTTTCGCTTCCCATACATGAAGCTTTTTCAAACTATTTCAGAGATTTTGTATTGTAAAGGGCTTCATGGATGGAAGACAAAGTCCAGTGGATTGTTTTCTTTTTTTTTTTACTTTATTAGATTGACAATGTCCTGGATGATTGACAATCTTTACCAGCATGTCCCAGATTTTAGTGTCTTGAGTGAATGAAAAAAGTTTTGCATACTGGGTAAAAAAAGTACTGAACACACAACTATTTTTCTCAGCAAATATATTTGTAGAGATGCTATTGACATGACATTTACACCAGATGTCACTATCAATCCACAAGATCTACACAAAGAAATCAAACCATAGTTTTGTGTAATAAAGTGAAATGGCACATGGAAAATTATTGAACACAGTTAAATTGATGAAATTTATTTAATACTTTGTATAAAAGCCTTTCTGTGTAATGACAGCTTCAAGAAATCTCCTGTATGGAGAAATTAGTCGCAAACATTACTCAGATGTGATTTTGGCCCATTGTTCCACACAAACACTCTCCTACAGGGTTTTGTAGGCGCTTCTATGAACTCTGATCTTCTTTCCATAAATGTTCTATTGGATTCAAGTGAGGTGATTGGCTGGGCCATTCTAGTAGCTGAAACCAAATGAGAATTTCCTTGGCTTTGTGTTTGGGGTCACTGAAATGTCCACTCACTTTTAATCTTCATCATCCTGGTAGATGACAGCTGATTTTTGTTAAGAATGTTGTAAAAGGCGGCACTGGTGGCGCCAGTGTACAGCAGCTTTGCTTCTGTCAGTGAGCCCAGGCCAGCTTTTGCTACAATGTAGCTTAGCACCATCAATGTGTGAATGTGTGTGAATGGGTAAATGAGTGAATGTAGAGTAAGGTGTTTTGGTGTATAAGTACAGGCCATGCACTCTTACCAATGTCTCTGTGCAATTTTCCATTCATTCTTCCTTCAATTATTTGAAGTTTGCCAGTACCACATGCTGAAAAACAGCCCAAAAACAGAAGTTCCTACTTCAGAATTTCACTGTTGGTATGGTGTTTTTGGGGTGATGTGAAGTGCCATTTCACCTCCAAACATGATTTGTATTACAGCATCCAAAGAGTTGAATTATGGTCTCATCAAATCAGACTATATTCTCCCAGTATTTTACAGGCTTGACTAAATGATGTGCAGCAAACATTAAATGAGCTTCAAATTTGTTTTCTTCAGCAATGGTGACTTGCATGCTGAGTATGCTTACAGGCCCTAGCGGTTAAGGGCATTACTTATTGTTTTCACCCCACAACTTATGAGTAGGGTGACCAGACGTCCTCCTATCCTCGACATGTCCTACTTTTCGGTCCAGGAACCCCGGCAGACAGGGGCAACGAGCCAGCGGAGTTAACAGAGGTTGGGTGCAGCTATATGTGTTTTCAGTCAGTGTTTTTTTTCCTCTCTCTTACTGCTCCCGTGTCCCGCATCTAGGTCTAGCATCATCTGATTTGCAGTAGCATTTTACTGCTTAGAGAGTAGCTACGTGGTTGGAGGAGAAACACACAGCAGAACTCAGTGATTATTAACCAGCAGCTACTATGATGTTTAAGTAAAAGTTAGCAGACGGGTTGCATAAAAAAAATTTGAGATGCCACTGGAAAATCTGTTCGTTAGACATACAGAGCTTTTTCAGCTAAAAATGGCAACAGATTGTAAGTTTATACAAGTTGGTATAATAAAGCAAGTAAATCTTGGCTTCTCAGAGGACAATAACTCACAGTTAAAGGTTAAAATTAACATATTTTATTATTGTAAAGACAGAATCAGACTGCAGAGCTTCTACATATCTCTTTTCTGGCATCATCATATTAGTAAATAGGTTCATAAATCTTTTTAAACAGAGCACAGAGATAGGTAGGGTTAGCTGCAGATTTAATGTGAAACAGATTTACTAGGATATGCAACATGCAAAAAAATATATATCCAAATTTACCAGAAAGTTTACAAGAAGAAAATATTCTGTGCTACATTTAAAATGCAGCATATCCAATTTTTTTCTTGATGGAATTGAAGTTCTACTTCTAAGGATGCATGATACAGCAATTTTGGCATTGGAATCAGCTCTTATTAATTATTTGTTCATGCACTGATGATTTTGGGCCCTATTTGTAATGCTCTAAAAGGAATCTCTCTAACATCTATAAATATAAATATTAGTGTGTTGTGGTCTTGTGTTCTCAAAAAAAGAAAGCAGTCAATAAATATGTTTAAGCTCATTTTTGGAAAATTAGCCTAATCAAAGTGGTCCAAGAGCCACCATCCAAGTGTCCCCACCAACTTTCATCACAAAGTTACACCCTCGCGGTGACGGTAGCCTGGACACCGGCGGCCCTGTGCTTCCCCCCGCCTGCCTTACCAGGCTGAAAAGGAACTACAGGGGCTGCAGTGCTAAGCTTAAGGATAGGCTAGCGGAGAATCCGAGGCGCTACAAACCATCAATGCCCTCCATAATCATGGGGAGTGTGAACTCGCTGTCTAGGAAGATTGACAGGCTGACTGCACTGAACAACCAGTGGATTTATACAGAAAGCAGCCTGTTCATCTTTATCGAGAAATGGCTAAACCACCTCGTACTAGATGCTAATGTGGACCTGCCAGGATTCACTGCACTGAGAGCCACCAGAGACGCTAAAGTTTTGTGGGAAATGGAAATGTGGGGGCCTGATCATGTTTGTGAACCCCTGCTGGTTTAACCCAGGACATATCTCAGTTAAGACTGTGTTATGCTGCCGGGACCTAAGAGATCCTTATGCTGAGTTGGCCTTAGGAAGCTTCCTACTTTGTCTTCCCAGCTTTTCTCTACTGTCAGCACTTTTCAGTCGGCATGTATCATGGCAACCACTTTTTGGAGCTAACATCCTTGCAGAGCATTTGTTTGCAAATGGAGACAGAAAATTGGAAATATCACAACAGTTTAATCCTTCCATCTTATCCCATTCACTGTAACTGTCACTTTGGGGCCAGTGGCATCTCTGGCAGTCTATAGGCGAAAAGTAGGTTACACCCTGGACAGGACACCAGTCTGTTGCAAAGCAGCACAGAGACATATACAACCATGCACACTCACTCACACCTAAGGACAATTTTGAGATGACAACTAATCTAAAAGTCATGCTTTTGGAATGAGGGAGGAAGCCAATGTAGCCATAGAAAACATACAAATTCAATGCAGAAAAACCTTCTTGCTGCAGGGCAACGGTGCTACAAACTGCGGCACCATGCGGCCAAACAGTAGTTTGTGTAGCAAAAATTATTCTGTTATTCTAAACTATTCAGGAGAATGGCTAAGTTTACACATAAGAGCTTGGGGAAATTCATGTTGGATGTATATGGTCCCTGGAAAGAAAGTCAACAGAGATTAACAAGTCCTAATGACTAAATATTTGTGTCACAAGAAGAAAAGGAACACCAGGACTTCAGCTACAAGCCTATTACTGTGATGTCTGATAACAATGAGCTGTGCTTTCCTCAGCAACTTAACATATCTTGCAAGAAGCCAAGACTTTCATGGGTTGCAGTTCTTTTTCTCCAGTTTCTACTGCCCATCATTTCTGTGCTCATTGTTGTTCTAAATCTGCTAGTCATCATCTCCATCTCTCACTTCAGGCAAAGAATGAATCCAATTTCTTTTGAATTTAAAATGCATATAGACAAAAACATTTACCATTTCTCTGTGTCATTTCTTTGTCAAAGTCAATGTGATGCCTAAAATTATATTTTGCTCATTTTTCTGCAGGCAGCTTCACAAAGCAAACAACTTCCTGCTTCTGTCTCTCGCCATTTCGGACTTCTTGATAGGTCTTGTTTTCTTTCCAGGTGAAATGGTTAAACTGACAACTTGTTGGTTTTTTGGTGATCTCATGTGTTTATTGTATTCATATATCCTTGTTCTTATTCTCTGTGCATCAGTCGGAAATATAGTATTGGTATCTGTAGAACGCTATGTGGCTATTTGTTACCCACTGCAGTACCACAGGAGAATAACTGTAACAAAAATACAAGTATGCATCAGTCTGTGTTGGTTCTGTTCAGCTGTCTACAGCATAACGTTTGTGAAGGATGGTTTAAGCCAAATTTCAGCTTCTTGTCATGGAGAATGTGTGTTTTTCATACCATATTCTGTTTTAGTTCTTGACCTTTTTTTAACCTTTCTTCTTCCGATTTCTCTAATTATATTTCTGTACATTAGAGTATTTCTGGTGGTTGTTTTTCAGGCTCGAGCTATCCGCTCCCATTTCACAGCACCACAACAAGGTCCAGTGACAGTAAGAAAGTCTGAATTGAAAGCTGCCAGGACCATTGGTTTTATAGTGCTTGTGTTTGTAATATGTTTCTGTCCTTACTACTGTGCTTATCTTGCAGGTGAAATTTCATTTAATGCGTCAACTACTGTTCTGTGTATTTTCTGTATTAACTCATGTCTCAACCCTATGATCTATGCCATGTTCTATCCCTGGTTCAGAAAAGCCATTAAACAGATTGTGACATTTAGCATATTACAGCCTGGGTCCAGCAAAGCAGATATATTATAGAAAAAGACATTTTTGACAGATATTTCTTCTTCTTAATATAGGTCACTGATTTTAATTGAAATGACCCTAGGCCACCTTCCATCTGTTACTGAAACATTTACATTGTTTATCAATTAAGTTCAACTGGATACAGTTTAAAACCAGCTGGACACTGACTGACTTAATTTGAGACTGTTGAAGTTCAGCTTGAGAGATCAAGAACAATACTTTACCTGGTAAATAGAGTTCAAAGTCTTTTTTGGTTTATGTGTATTATGTGGTGTTAGTTTGTCCGTTTAAAATTTAAAATTGCCTTAGAAACAACCAAAACATGTCAGTGAAAAGTATGAAAAGAGCTTTGGATAACTGCAATTTATCACCAACAGAATAAAAAACGTGGAGCAAAATGATGATAACAGAAAAATGGTTATTTCTCCTCGCCTCAATTTTTTTTTCATTACCTGAGTCAGTAAACCACACATGAAATGTAATATTGTATTTTTATATTCATGAAAAAGAGA